TAATGACTCTGCAGTGTCCAAACCTTCTAGCAGACGGGTCATCGCCATGATGAAAGTAGTAGTGAGCAACTTCAATTTGATTTTATTTTCTATTAAAGATGCAAAATATAATGTTATTATATTTAGTAAACATGTATTTTAATAAAATAAACAAGGTATTCAGACGTTTGTATAAAATTGATCCGTAACTGAGTGTACAAAAAAAAAATATTAAAAGGGGAAAACAAAACAAGAACAGTTCTTTTAAAAGGAAAAAAGTATGTTAGGCTAAATCTAAATGTGGGTTACAAAATCTTATCTTAAGTTAAATTCACAAGATATTCCTTATCCCAGCTACTCTGAAATTAGATTTTTTTTTAAACAACTAATAGATACGTTATATATGTTTATATATGTTTATAACCTTTCACATTTTAGGAAGATTTCAATTTTACAGTAAAAAAAATCTCACCAAAAAACAACTTTTAGAAGTATCTCCTTTTCTATCAAACGGACATTTTGGAATCATTCTTGAATTGCAATCAGGGGCCACAAACATTCCTCCATGGACCACAAATGGCTCCAGAGTCCCTACTAAGATATAAAATAAAATAAAACATGAAACACGGTGCTTTGACATAATGTGTAAATTATCAAATTAAGAAGGGATTAAATGTGGTTATGAAAGTGATAATTATGAGCAAGTTAATAGTTTGTGTTTTAGTTCATTGTATTCCTCCAAAGTGATGCTTTTACTTGGGGGGATTTTGCACACATCTTTTTACTCTCTCTACATCTCCTCCTGACCGAACCCTTTGTCCTTCTAATACCTGAGGGACAAGGAGAGGAGCAGAGGGTCAGGTGTAGCAAAGGTCAGTGGTAGATGCAGCCCTGACTGGTGCAGGCATTGGTACCGAGCAGATCAAACGGATCCCAAAGGCCCAGCAGGCTGCAGCAATAAGAGCCTCAAACATTAATGAAAAATAAACAACAACTTCAACTCTGGTGTGATATGAGCTGAAAAACCTGAGGTGGAATAAATCACATGCACCAGGATGTTTACGCTCAGTGCAACTTTGTGCCTCATATTTTGAGGGCTGCCTCTGTATCTGAATCTAGCACTCTTGAACTCTTTTGTTCTCAGTGCAGAGAGCGGCGCTGCAGCAGAGAGGAAAAGGAAGAAGAGGAAAGGAATGGAGGAGAGAGAGAGTGGTGTGTGGAAAAAAAACGTGGAGGACTGAGGAGCAAATAAATTCAGCAGGAGAAAGCAACAGACAGAGGAGGAGACAGAGAAGAGTGTAGAGCCACGCTAGGGTGTGAGCGCTCTGTGCTGCTACAATATGACTCTGACAGGCTTATGTAACCAGGCAGGCCTGGCATTTGGCTCACAGCAGACGCCGTCTGCGCTGACTGTTATATAACTGCATTAGCTGCTACTCTGAGCTGAGCAAAAGCATGCGCATTGGAGAGCCCTACTAACACACACACAAATACACACAAACAAACTTTCCCACCCAGAGAGAGACTGCTCTGTAACCAATCTGCAGAGCCACTACAAGGTTTTCACTAGATTATAACAATGCAGTGCTTTGGAAAGTATCCCACAGTGGTATGTTGCTGAAAAACGGAAACTATCTAACAGTATGAATTCAACCCCTTTTTAATCTGATGCATCTAAATAAAATCCAGTGAATTCAGTTGCCTTACAAACTGGATTGATTAGTGTACATATAGTCCCCCTCTCTAAATGAATAACCTCAGTAAAACTCTATCTGCTCTATAAAGGTGTCAGAGGTCTGCACTTATCCAGAGACATGAAGAAATGACTGATTGCTATACAACATAATTCAGATAAAACAGGCAAAAGGATCACAGTAACCCTGGAGGAGCTGTAGATATCCACAGCTCAGGTGGGAAATTCTGTCAGCAAGACTAGGGGTTGTACATAAACCTGACAGGATGGGTGTAGCTAAGTACATGGCTATCCTAACAGAAAAGCTGTTAACAGGATGACAAAGACGTCAAATTGGAGAGTATGGTCACCTTCCAGCAGGACAACCCTAAATCCATTCCCTTCCCTTCGTTTCATCACATAAAAAAGAGCAATCAAGAGGTGTGAATACTTCTACTAGCCTTTCTGCATATATCCAGTAAATACGTTTGTTGACTGAACTACTGTGGATAAATGGCACAGTTATCCTGTCACCCATCAGTATCTCTACATCCTATCATCCAGCAACAGGTTTCCCATCATGAAAAGCCTAATTGGGGCTTAATGTTGGGGAAATGTTTCCAGTGCACATGCAATATGCCAGCAGGGCCCAAACCCAATTAACTCCCCTGCATGCAGAATATAATTTAATGGGGCCTGGATTCTACTCTTAAAACCTAATTACACCTCAGACAGGCATCTCAGGTCGCTGTGGCCGAGAGGTGGTCAGGGAGGCATGCCTTTCCTAAAAGAAAGTGCATCTAAGGAGGCACCACTGCAGCAATTTGGCTTTTTTATTCTCAGTCAGATATCTCAATGATCTATGTGGATTTTTTTTTTCCGTCTGTGTGTGTGTGTACCTGTCTTGCCCTCAGAGTGAGGACCATTTTTCCAATTTCACCATCAAATCAAGAACCACTTTTTGCAAAGTGAGGACATTTTACCTGAGCTCACATGCTATTTTGCTAATGGTTAGGTTTAGGGCGAAGGTGTCAATTGGGTTAGGGTTAGGGTGAGGTATGTATTGGTAATGGTTAGGTTTAGGGTTAGTTTTAGGCGTAGGGCATAGAAAGGGTTGAAAAAGAAGGAAAATCAATGGGATACAACACGTGGTCCTCACTACATATAGCAGAACGAGTATGCGTGTGTGTGTTGCTGGGGGGTTTTCTTGATAAATGTAACATGCAGGTAGCACTGACATTTCTCAGCTAATGTGGAAAAATGAAAGCAGGGATTAAGGTCAGGCCAAACACAGCAAGTCATAACAATTGTCTTAGTCAATCTGCAATTAAAAATCCCAGGGCAAAATCAGCTGCAGAGTCACACTAAGTGGCTCATAATGGACACATTACAGCCTCTGATCTCTTTTTACAGCGACAAATTGCATCCAAGGAAAGCAGAGGAAATGAAGGTGGGATTTATGACCCTGGAGCCAATAGCCAGAGACAGAATACCTTAAATCTATCACTGGAGAAAAATAGTGTTTGAGTTTGCATTTGTGCACCTGAAGGTAGCGGTGAGAAATAAAAAGAGATTGATGATGCTTGGCTAATTTGTTCTCAGATAGTGCTGGCTGGGTTGATGAGTGGCTACATTTCAGATAGGAGCAACAGAAGCGGAGCTGAGCACAGGGTTCCTCAGGTTCATAAAACTCAACCTGTTGCTTCTGACATTCTAACTAGAAGCTAAACGGTAAAAACGATCAAGATAAAATCAGCTGAGATTTCTGAGAAAAGCTGCAAGTCTGCTCCCGCTGAGGAGTTTTGTGAAACCTTAACAGTAGTTTGTTTTCTACAGACGCCTGATTGTGCAAGCCTTCATGTGTCTTGTGCATAAAGTGAAATCATGTCTCTCCACGCTCTACTGTGCTGTGCTAAATCTAATCAGGATATTAAAGTTCTGACATAAGAATGTATAGTGGGTCATATTTTTTAAGTTTTTGCCTCATGTGGGTATTTTGTGATTATCAGTTTATAATCTGCAGCTCTACCGTTTTAATCAAATAATAAAAAGCAAATGTGGATGTTTCATATTCTTTCAAGGTTTCAAATGAAAGGAGAAATTCTTCACATTAAGGAGTTTAAACATTCTTTAAGAAGAAAAATGGGATAGACAGAAAGCAACAAAAAATATACATGTAATATATGAGCAAAAAGAAACTGGCCAAAAGAACAAATGAATTAATAAAGATCAGAATCAACATTTTTTTTTTTCAATCACAGTTTTCCACAGCAAACACATAATAGATATAAATCAGCTATTTATGGACTGATAATTTTCTTTTTTTTATCTTTAAGATGCCAAATGCAATTTAGGTAAATTTCAGTTAATAATTAAAACAATTTCAAAATCATAAACACATCATTTAAGAGTGAAAATAACAGAAAAATTTGCTCGTTTCAAAATGTATCTGTTTAGGCGTAAAAAAACACAAAAAAAAACCAAGAAAATGTCTCTTACTTCATCTAATAAAAATAATCTTAGCAACTGATAAAAGTTGAACTTTTAGAATTAAATAAGCAAATTGATTGCATTTGTAAGAAGAAATCTAAAGAAAACAAACATTTAATTAATATTCATCACTGCATCAAAAGAAGGAAGACATCTTTTATTAAAATAAGATCTTTTGCATATATTTATCAGAATTTCAGTTTGATGCAGATTAAAACATGACCTTTTGATTGCCAAATTGTGACCTTGGAGCTGCACAGATCTTTGTTTTTCTATTTATGTGACAAATTGCAGGATATTTTCGCAGCTTTTCTTAAGAATCCAATCAAAGTAAAATAAAAAATGTTACCTATTGGTTTTAAGCTTCAGTTTTGAATTCCAATTGCAGCCATAGAATAGAATGAGACCAGGACCACAATAGAAGGATGCTGAAAATTCATCCTGCCAGTAAAAACATTTTTACTCATTTAAATGTAACCAAAAATATATTTTTTTTGCAGAAGTGACCAATATCCCATAGATGACCGCAAATTATTCATCCCCCAAACTTCAGGAAAATCCATGCCTCTTTTTCTTGTACAAAAGAACCTTTCCTTGTATGCTGATCTACAAATTATTTTTGTATTTTATTTGAATAAAAAGAAGTTGAAGTTGTCTAGACCCACCAAAATTTTCCAAGTGACAGCAAAACAAAAACTATAAAAAGCACATACATGCAAGCGGGGGGACAACTGTGGTGGTAACACCTCGTCCTGCTTTTGAAATATGGTGGTGGCAGCATTATGCAGCGAAGTTTACTCCAAAAAACACTAAATACTCGAACATAGAAGAAATAAAAGCACCAACAGAACACAAGGTTTTATTAATTTATTATAAGTCTTTGTAGGTTAATACAGCAGGTTTTTATTTTATTTCTTTTAATCAGACAGGGCACAGAAACCACACTTTACCTGCACAGGCAGAAAACTGTACCTTTATTAGATGTGATTTTTTTTCCTATGCATTGAATACAGTGTTAAATCACATGACAGACCCGTGCCTGAAGACATGCAGTGACTCACCACAATGTTTAGGCAAGGCATATAAGCACATCTTCCTTCTGAAATACAGGACCACAAAAGGCACCGTTTTGGTATAAAATACGACATATGAATCAAAAAAGGCAAATTATCCAAAATAAAACCCCTAAAAAAAGGGATGAAATGTAAAACTGTAGAAGAAAAAATAAACTCATCTCACATTACACATTGGTAGTCATCACAATGGATTTAATTACTGTAAGACAAGAACTAAAATGTAGGCGTAAACTAAAAACTGCTTTGACATCTGCAAACTAGACTGATTTGAATTCTTACGGTATTTCAATCAGATTAGAAATGAGGTGACTACATAATGCATAAGTATCATACCAGCATTACAACCATCAGATCACCACGACATTCAATACGATTTAACAACAATTCCATCATTTTTGAAATTCAGTACCTTGTTTGCACAAAAGATCTACAACTCTAACTCCTCTTCTCAAACGTATGTCATTCATAAAAACTAGTGGTAGCATTGAGCTAACGCTGCAGCTTCTGGGATCGACGCTCGGCACACTGCATGGTGCTGATTAGCTGCGGATCAATAAAGGTTTCCCAGCTGCAACAGACTTCAATTAAAGGTAAAGGTTGTTGCCCGTGGCTGCCTGAGCCTGAGTTCTGTCAGAGGAGGAAGCTTAGCACCAGGAATAAACCGTCTCAAATTAGAGCAGACGAGGAAGCTCTACAATCAGACCAGCACTCTCACCAGCTTAAGATGTAGTGACATGGCTATGCATATAGCTGAGCTGCACGAGGGAAGCCCTGATTTGATCTGCAGGGCGTGCCTTATTAGCGTTATCAAGCTGTCCCACTCCCCCTACCATGGGGCTCCTAAGCGGGGCTCCCCTAATTCCCCCATGTACAGATAACCAGGGGTTTTCCGGACCCGTCTAATTATAGATGTCTGATCAGAATCACTTTTTATAGAAAATCAATAAATGAGATATCTGAGGTACTGAAAGTGCCTTGTTGCTTAGTGTTAATCATAGTGCAGAAACTTAACTTCAACACAACAATAAAAGATTGCTGTTAACCACATTAAAAGTGGAAAAACTAACACAAAATTACACAAAAAGTGACAGCAAGAGAAAAAAAAAACTAAATTAGAGAGAAGATACTTTAAGTCTTCATATCACCCTTTTTAGATCATTTTATAGCATCCTTTAAAATTTCTGATATACCAGGAGGAAAACAAACAGGACAAATACAGCTTGAGGACACCATGTGCTTAGCTGAAATCCCTGTCAGGGAAGATAAGAGGGGCAATGAGGGTCCAGAGGTAGAGCAGGAGGCCCAGCCAGCTAGAGCACATCTTCACCCATACGGCTGGCATGATGCTCTGCATGGCATTGGTGGTGGTGTCTGGTCTGAGAGGGCACACACAAGAGGCAAATTAACAATTCACTTCTATCTCAACTTTTTCCAGCAAATTATAAGGTAATCAGGGGTGGGGAAATATTTTTTAAATGCATTATAATAAAAACAGCTTATGGTGACCCCAACACAGGAATTAACCACAGTTTGAAATTTATTTTTGAATTCAAATGATCTGCTTTGATAAAAATAAAACCTACAGTCAATGTACTTTAAATATTCTCAATACAAAAATATGCTGTACTTGCCTTGACCTTTTAACCTGAGTCTTTGGAAGAAAAGCTATTTACTGAGTCACTGATTGGCATTAAACTGGCCACCAATGATAACGTAAATAACTTTGGTGTTATTTCAATCCTATATTGAAGAGGTTTCTAGAATTCTCTTTTTCATCCCTGTAACGTTAGAAAAAAATATCTATATCTATCTATCTATCTATATATATATATATATGTATATATATATCTATCTATCCATCTGTCTATCTGTTAGCTTTATTCAATGATGATTATAAACACTATCTATCTATCTCTTGTCCAAACTAGCACATGCATTTGTTACTTCAAGGCTGGAGTATTTTGATTCTTTACTATTAGGAAGTCCATAAAATCTTTCAGCTGATCCAAAGGTAGATCATATTCCTCCTTCTTTAGCATCAGTTTATTGGCTCCCTGTTAAGATAGATGGAATTATAATTCCAATTATTGATAAATAAAGTTTATAAATAATTAGGAATAAATAAAGTCTAGCTCGCACTTTACACCTGTTAGTGTTGCAAGAGAGTAGCTGTGATAATGCAGATTCACGTGAAATGCTGCTCTGAGCGAAGAGTTGGTACTTGGAGAGCCTTGTAGCTCAGTCACATTTAAAACAGTTCAGTATGAATACCCTTTCCTGTAGGGAACTACTTTCCCACCGAGCAGTGTAGTGTGACACAATGTATGAGGTCATAAAGATTTTGTTGTGCATATATCCATCTTAGTTTACATCAGCTAAAGTCAGAGGGGCTTTAAATTGGAAACTTTTAAGCGATTTGATTAAACTCTGCAAACGTCTTTGAAATGATGTGGGTTGCGAATTAGTGCTATACGAGTAAACTCACCTCCTTCGAAAAACGACAGAAAAGTTTCAGATCTTCCTTGTTTTACATAAGTTTCCCATTTCACCTTGTTTTATCCCTAGACTATAACACCCCAATACTTACTGGTACCAGTTTGTCAGCGTCATCATAATGTAGAGTGAAGCCAGGCAGAGATGGAAGTGGAAAAAGGAGTAGCTATAAGTGACTTTCTCCTCCTCATTGTCCACAGCCCTGCACACGCCGTCCTCCCCGACAACTCCCTCTCCACAAGACCCTGTGCCCTCCTCCGTCTGCATCAGCTTGTTAACCTGAGCATTGCTGGATGAGCGGATACTGAAGGGCACAAAGGAGGAGGAAAATTAGCAACAATAAGGAGCTAAAAAACACATTTCTGAAAACATAACAGGTAAATAAACCATCAGAAAATACTAGCTTAAGACTGGATCGGTGTCACAGGTTTTATGACCGAATGTTTTGTTTGAACAGGTTTTAAAGGTAAATGTTAATTAGGTATAAAGTCAAAAGTATCTCAACCCCTTCAGCATTCGTCACAAAGCTCAGTGACAGAGCAAGTGTTATCACCTTAACCCCTAAACAGTCTGCTGTGTTCCATGATTCCTGATGACGCTCATTAGTTTTGTTATAAACTTCATCATCAGACTTAAACAAATTTGTATACATTGCAAATACAGGCGCAAAATAAAATATTCCAACAGGTTCCCAAACACCATGCTTTGTTCAGGATAGCAGCACATATACAGAGCTGTCAGAGTTCCCTTAACCAAATGCAGGAGAAGTTTTGATACTTTTTTTGCAGTAAGTGAAAACAAACGTGGGATTGTGTTGATTCTGACTACTTTAAGTATTCTAAATGGGGCTGTGCCAGGCTTTGAGAGCGGTTATTGCTTTCTAAAATTATACTGCAAGCTAGATGTGGCAGCAGACCATTTTCCCACTCCTATTTATTCATCTTTCAACTTAAGGTGGAAATACACGGTATAAAAATGGGACGCATCTTTGCCATCAAGTCATTTGGACACAATCAGAGTTTGATTTATTTTAAGTAGACTCTATAAATCAAATAGACTGCATTTAAGCTGGCACAGTAAGAAATATAAAAGTATGCTTAGATCAATTGCAAAAACCCCCAAAAAAACAATTATATAATGTTCCTTTCACATAAGCTATGCACCACTTTGTGCTTTGGTGCCTGTAACATAACCACAGGCATTTTATCATTTCCTGGACATTGTGTGAAACTTATCACCCTCTAATACCAAGGTGAATGTTAAATGAGGGGGCTGTTATATCTAACCCCCTAGGAGTAAACAGATTTGTGTAGGTGGATTTAATTAAACAGTATTTTGATGATTTTTCTATGCAGCAGAAAATCTACAGCACTCAGTGTGTGACTGGTGACACTGCTAAACCATCTTATGCATACATTATTATAAGTGCTGTTTTACACAGGCTGTCTATATGATGTATAACATAACCCCATTAAAAGTAGTTTTGTCAAGAACCCAGCAGGAAAATTAGCTAAATCTATCCTCTTTGAATTGTCCAACCAAACAAAAGAAACACTTTGATTCTCTCATTACAAATCAGGCGGGTGAGGATGATCACATATGCAAACAAAGGTTTTTGGACACCACAAACACTACTGCATGCACCTTCTTTTTCTGGTACTTAAAGCAAGATGCACACAACGTTATGCTGCCCACTTGTGGCCACTTTACAAAATGCACCTTGAGAGAGTTGCAACAAAATGCACCTTGAGAGNGTTGCAACAAAATGCACCTTGAGAGAGTTGCAACAAAATGCACCTTGAGAGAGTTGCAACAAAATGCACCTTGAGAGAGTTGCAACAAAATGCATCTTGAGAAAGTTGCAACAAAATGCATCTTGAGAAAGTTGCAACCTGCACTCTGACAAGTCAATGAATCCCCTCAAAACAAAAACTGCCAGGAAGATCTTCTTTATGTAAATTTATGTGAACATTTCAAAGTTTTAAGAAAATGTTTAATGCTATATCAATGTTTCTGTATTGTAGTGCTCATGTATCCCACATTTAGTTTATCCAGAATGAGGATACAGTTCTTGAATTGTCTAAATGTAAATGCATTACTTTTTTAATGTGTTATCCATATTTCCTTCTTTTTTTATAGACGTTTTGTTAGATTTAAGGGCCTTAGACGCACAATGAAGTTTAATTAAGACCAAATTTTTGCTTTTGTGTTTACCTGGCATAGAGAGTACAGAAGAGAAAGATGATCAAACCAACGATGCCTTGAGCATCCCACCACTGCACGTGTCCTGGATTAGTGTCCACAGATGGCTGGGTGATGTTGGCGTGAGTGACCAGACTCAACAAACTTGGATTGCATTTCCGATCTAAAGGATATAAAGATACACACTGTTAGAAATCAGCCACACTTAAAATGATTTAAAAAAAATTACACCCAACTTAAAGTTAACCTGTGGCGCGCCAAAGGGTTTTAATAAACAAAGCATTTAAATTCCATCAACACTGTGGGAACCATTACCTGTTTTTACTTCTAACAGTATTTAAAGCTACAGTGTGTAATTTTCAGCGACATCTAACGTTCAGACTGCAGCAACATG